GGTGATACATGCATTTGTACGTGGCTGGTCATTGTTAGGCTTCAGATGACAGATGAGGTGAAGAATGAATGTTTTTGGTGCACTGACCTGCGAGTGCACGGCCTTGTGCTGCTCCAGACTGACTGCGTGTCCAAAGGTTTTGCTGCAGACGGGACACGCGAAGGGCCTGGTGCCGCTGTGGGACCTGCGGACGTGCACCTCCAGCCCGTGCGGTGTGGAGAAGACCTGGCAAAATATGCCATAAAACGTCATCAGCTGGCAAAAGTACTTACAGTCGTGATCCTTGTGTAAAGAAAGACTGGACATGTTCAAGCATCATTTAGATTAAAAAAAAGAGCCATGCCTAATAGCTGACTGCATGTCATAGCATTGTTTGATGTTTCATTTCCGAACCCAGCAAAAAAGCTAAAAAAAGGTTTCATTTCAGAAAGCTGACAATTTCCCTGACCAATTTAAAACCCAACTTTGAGACTGTTGGCTTTAGATAGGGTTTGATTTCCTCCAGACAGGACAAAAGTGGCCTTAAGGAGGAAGCATCCTTTTTGCTTTGCGGGACATAGATCTGATTGTCATCTGCAGAGCAGTAAAAGGAAATGCCATACTTCCTTCGCAAATAGAATAAAAAACAGCAGGGGTCCTAAAATTGAACCCTGTGGAACACCACTCAAAGCAACCAAGGCTAACACAGAAAATGTCCTTCGCCTGGTGTCAAAATCAAGTCAACAGAGTACAAATAAAAGTTTGATTTTTTTTAAAATAAGTCTCCTAATGGCTTCAATTATGTCAACTTTTAGACAAAACATTCTTTAACCTGGAACCACACATAAAATCAATTGTCAATTCTCAAAAAATGGAAATTTGCATGTGAACTCTATACTGATTAAAGTAAAACCTCAGTAAAAAAAAAAAGCACAGGATCTGAAATGTAGTAGAAGACAAAAGAAATATAAAGACTCTAAATTATATACAATGTCACAAAATTAGCTCATGAATACAGTGTTTTTTTCCCATTTGGACAAGCTCCAAATCATTTGTTAATAATTGGTCTTCAAATTTTCTATTTGTTCATCTCCATTGGCTATCGATGCCTGTGACGTATAATGAAATCGGACACAATTAAATGATCCTCCACTAGATGGCAGAAGGTCCATAACTCACTTGCATATCAACTCTGACATGTTTGTTCATTTCTTAATGTCAAATATGTGCCCTTAGATTATTAAAAATTGGCAAATTGGGCTAATTTCCCACCAATTAGAAACCGTTTGTGTGCTCGTGCCTGTGCGTGTTGCAGCAACACCACTTCCTCCGGTGTCTCACCTTGCTGCATTTGACACACTTGTAGGCGCCGTTGAGCACCAGACTGGCGCACAGAACATCCGGCGGGGCCTCCCGGTGGGCCTCAAGATGGTGGGCGCGCAGGGGCCCCCCGTCGTGGAAAAGCAGCGAGCCGGCGTTCTGGCGGCCGTACGTCCGCAGCGCGTCCTGCGCGTAGGCAGACGAGTGGTCCAGCACGCGCGCGCCCGGCTCCGCGTAGAGGCCGTGCACCGATGGAGCCGGGCCGGGATAGAGGCCGTGAACGGCGGAGGCAGGATATCCGCTCCAGTCGTACGGCCGGAAGGGAACCGAAAAGGCCGGCGTGTCGTCCACCAAAGGAGAGAAAGATTTGAGCGAATCTACTGGAAGAAAAGAGGCAGCAAACTTTAAAGAAGAATAAATGTTAACGGAGTTTGGCGTCAGGTCTGGGGAAGCACATTCTAAGAGACATTCTAAGTGATATTTTCAACAGCATCATAAATATAAATCGTAATTAACACCATGGGTGTACTTACCCGGTGAGGCACACGGGGATGGTGGCCTCCAGAAGCCTTCATAATCCGGCGAGGGCGCGCAAGGGCTACCCGCGCAGCTCAGCGGGGATTTGGGGGAAGATTCAGCCGCTTTCGGGACAAGGCAGCCCGAGGAGGGGGGTGACGTGTCCGCGGTCACCGCATCCTCCTCCGTGGGAACGCTCCACGTGGTACCGGGCGGTTCTGGAGGAGGAAACTCACCGCCATCACTCCAAGGACCTACACATCGACCGTAAAAATAATAACATTACCAGATAGCAGTCATAAACTCGACAACTTTTTTTTTTCTTACCATATAGTTCCAAATCGATAATATTCAAACATATTGAAAAATAAATAATTTCAAACATACTACGAACACGGTGATTCCTCTCAAAAAGGTCATGTTTTGGATACTGACAATTCACACTGCTAATGTTTTGATTTGATTGAAGACATTGTGTACATCCACATCTATTGACTGCTAAATGTGTTTATTAAAACAGAATAAGTATATTTTGCACTACAAAAGCATGCATTAATTTCCCATGGAATGGAGTCGTGTTTTTGAGCGTGTAATAACAGATGCTAAAAACTGCACATCCATAATGCTAATATGTTTGAGTTTGAACAGAAACGTGAATATATGTTGAAAATGTACACATCAACACGGGTATTTACTACCTAATGGTGTTGACTTTAACAATAAAAAAATGCAATTTTTTTCTTCACTAAATCTTAATAGCATCACAAAAAATTTTTTTGTCATATATTAACTTAAGAATGCACGCGGATGTGGTTATTTTTAACAGCAAAACGTGTTAAACAGCACTTTGCCACTAGACTTCGTTCAAATCATTTTCTATAACAACAGCAAAAGGATATGAACAATTTGTCATATATTAACATTGTAAGAATGCGCCAACAGGTATGTTTACAGATGACATCTTTATTTTAACGCCAAAACTGATGCTTTGCTTTTATGGTGATCGCATTTTATCACCACAACGAAAAATCGAAAACACTTGGTGATATTTGAACGTAAGCGTACACGTCTATTAGTACTAAAATTTGATTTGATACAGGATGAGAGTTGAGGTTTTTTTTTCCCCACTACTTTTAGTAGGCGAAAAATGCGAACAATTTTGTATTTTAACGTCGGAGGAGCGCGCAAACAAACGCGAAACCCATTCATTACTAAAATGTTTAATTGTCAAACGATAAGAAAAAAAAAAGAACAGCCGGTCACATTTCAAAGTTTTAGATGAAATAGAATCTCGTGCCTAATAATCGGATTCCGGTTTCCCACACGGGGAAGAGGTAATTCAAAATATCATGAAATATCAAATATGTAGTTTTCTTTTTTTTTTTTTTTTACCTGTGCAGTCGTCCAGTGCTCGCGGCTGGTGATACGTGTGAGCTCTCTTGCTCTTCACCAGGAAGGAGCGAGGCATCCTCGTCTCTGGGCTCTTCTCTTCGTTCTCCTCTTGTCGATCTTGTGCTCGCTTGCTGCCTTTCAAGCTTGAGGCCGCGACGCGCATGCGCGAGGACGCGAGTCGCCCGCCAGGTGTTCGGCTCCCAGGTGACGCTGAGGAAGAGGAGGAGGGCGACGAGGAAGATGAGCCCCCAGGCGCTCTCACTATCCGAGTGAGTGGCCCGCACACAATCGAAGCTTTATTTATTTGTTGTCAGTTTAAAGAAGGAGGGGGAGGGGGGGGGACTCGTTGGACACCTGTGGGTTTAACAGCAGTTGTCGTCATTATGTTATTATTATTGACACTATTTACAAAATACTGTATCATCGGGTTGCGTTGAGAATACCTCATACAATTAAAAATTTCAATGGAAATGATCAGAAATGTTGACATATTACAGTCACCATCCCACAAACACAATATAATTGTAATGTGTTTTTAAAAAGGGAAACTCACATGTCAAACCCACTCATAACAAAAGCAAATGGAATGCATCGAGATAATATGTTTTGCCTTAATTATTTGTTTCGCTGAATAATTTTTCTTCCGTTTTTGCCCTTCTCTGTCTCACGCTCAACAACTTCTTCGTCTTTTCAGCGAAATACAAACAGAATAAAAGCGATTGTGAAGAAATGTAAATGTTATAAAGTGCATTTTGTGTGCCTGCTCGATTGCGCGGCCTCCCGAGTGACGTCGGGAGCTGAAGTCACGTGGTTAATTCAACGGCGAGCGTGTGCTCTTTTCTTTTTGCATTGCTCAATAAACGACTAAAAGTGTGGTTTGTGTGTGTGTGTTCATTTTGTGCACGTTTAGCGCTCATTGTGTGTGTGTGTGTGTGTGTGTGTGTGCGTGCTAATTTGATGCGTCCGAGTTTATCTTCAGCGGTCGGTCTAAGTGTTCATTTAACGTGCGCGTGCGCGCGCAGTCGCGGACAGGAAAGCTGGCTCGTTAGCACGTGCACGTTTTTATCCTCCATGGCCTCCTATCTGCGGGCTTCTCGCTGAGCGGAAGTCTAATCGAGCTCGGGCACGTATCCCTGCTCACATCCTGTCGCGATTCTGCTACTTCTGATTGGCAACACACACGCACGCGCGCGGGTTAGGTCGCGCAACCGGCATGAAATCAACAAATGGGCCTGTTGGGCATTGATCAAATGTATGGAGGGGTCAGTAAGTGAGCTAACGACAAATATACACACGAAATAAACACACTACGAGCACACGGATAATGAACGATTGCATATTACAAAGTAAATGCACAGAAAATGAGCACAAACACTCATGGGGAGAGAGCAAATACATAGACACACAAAAATAAAATGGACATACATACACAAAAAAAAACATGAACACAAGGAAAACAAACATAAAACTTAAAGTTAACACACATACACGTTAAATAAGCACTGAACACACTTAAAAAGGAACAGACACACACAAAAATAGACTGAACGGATGCTGGCTGAATTGTGCAGTAGGAAGACCACAAACCTTTGCACGATTTTAATCGATGTTGGTAAATCACAGCTGAGATCTAAAGGCCCACTCAGCACTCACACGCATACTCGGCTTATGAGAGACAGATCGGAATCAGATTTTGTGGTTTTGGTGTTTGAAATCAGCAGCAGCAGCCTCCAATCGTTTCCTGCCTGCCCATTAGCCATCTTAAAAAAAAAATTTAAAAAAGCATCACGCCATTAAAAGTTCAACAAATGTTTTATTGTCAACTCTTCACACACAACAAGCTCACCTCCCTGTGTGGGCGCGATGTACTGCAGACTCCCAAAGTGCTTTAAAAAAAAAAAAAAAAAAGTCAAACATGGATGCTGTCCAAATAGCGACCAGACAGACAAGTGCAGTGTCATCACTGACACCTTATGTGAACTGATAAAAACACCCAAACCACATCAGGTCCGGGTCCAAATCCGGGACATGTATAAGTCCAGAGTTCAGATCGAGGTCCAAATCTATGCCGAGGTCAAAGTACAAGTCTCGATCCAGATGCAGGTACAAGTCCAGATCTCGGTACAGATTTGAATCTAGGTACAAGTATAAGTCCAGGTCCACTTCAAGATATATTTGAAAGTCCAGTCCATGTCAGGGTTTGGTTAAAAATCCCAGTCAAAGTCCAGTTCCAGGTAGAAGCTGAAGTCAAAGTCAAGGTAGAGTTATAAGCCCAGTTACAAGTGCAGGTCAAAGTCGAGGTGCGGGTCCAAGTCCAGAACCAGATCTGAATGGAGGTGCAAGTACTGTTCCAGATACAGATCCAGGTCCAAGTCAAGGTCCACTTCAAGATACGTTCAAGTCCATTCCAGGTTGAAGTCAAGGTAGAGTTGCAGGTCCCAGTCAAAGTCCAGTCCCAGGTAGAAGTTGAAGTCAAAGTCAAGGTACAGTTCGAGGTCCAGTTCCAGGCAAGTCCAGGTCAAAGTCAAGGTGTGGTTCCAAGTCTCGGTCTCGGGCCAGGTGTGTGAAATGGAGTGAACAAAGTGGGAACAAGAGCGACAACTTTGGTAGCCCAACCAAGCGTCATCAAATCAACATCAAGACAAACAAACAAACGTCACCTTTCTCCCTCCTTCCTTGTGCGAGGTCTCTTGTGGTGTGCATTACCATGGCAACCCCCCCACCCCATCCCACCATGAGTAGAGCCCAGTTGGAAAGGTACGGACGCGCCTGAGATCCATTTCTGTTCATTTCCTCTCATGATGGCTTGTCTCCGGGTAGATTTAAAAATCATTGAAATGTGTCATTTCTGTAATGTTAGGGCAAAAAAAAAGGTGGCAAAATGGATGCAAACACACACACACACTGTAGAGTTCTGGCTTATAAAACAATGTTCATATAAAATCCCATTGAATGAAGTGTGATATAGAATAAAATGTTTTATTGTCTCTCGGAACTAATTGCCCACCTCCTGTCTCTGTGGGACCCGTACAGTCATAGCCACAAGCAGTTCCCAGGTCCAACTTTGCCCAATCTGAAAAGTTCCACACGTCACACAGCGGTGGACTTGCGATTTCCCACCTTGGCAACGGCGGCGGGTACGGAAAGCCTCAGAGCCTCGCCGTCCTCATCCTCCTCGCTGTCGGTGTCGCCCAGTTTGCAATGGAGCATGACGCGGCGGCCACGGCCAGCGTCGCCGCCGTCCTTGGTGGCGTCCTCGTCCGAAGAGTGGTACGAGCCGTCGTCGTGGGGGTCATCGGGGTCACGGTGGTGCGCGTAGTGGTTGATGATGTGGATGCCGTCAAAGGCGGCCGGTTTGGAGGATATGCCACGTTGTCCCTTTAAGCAGCAGATCTGTGCGAGCAAATGAGGGACAATTTTGACAACATTAAAAAAAAAACAAAAAATGGCCGCCATCATTAGAATGAAAACATGACATTAAAACCTGACAAAGACGGTATCGGTCAGAGACAATTATGACATAATTAAAAGGCAAGCACGACCCCAAACGGTATTTATGAAATAAAAAAAAAAAAAATTAAAAAAAAAAGGGAAGGGAAGGGAAAAATTACATGTTAAGACTATTATGACAAAAAGATGTCAGCAATTTGGGCAATGGATGGATGGACTTAATTGAAAAGATAATGATGGCATGACATGATAATTAAAAATACAATTTTGAGACTAAGAAGACATAACCCCCCCAAAAAAATCTCCAAAAATGATATTGATAGAACGATGTTACTGTACAACTAAAAAAAAAAAAAAAAAGACAATTAAATCATTCAAATTCATACATTGACATCATAAAAACAAAACAAACAAAAAAAAAAACAACAAAAAAAAAAGTAAATGACAAATGTGATGACTAAGATCACAATTATAAAATTACAATTCTGAAAGTCCTCCATTTCGGCATTTGGAGGGAAAGAAAAGTCAGACAGCATTAAAAATTATTTTAAAAAATATGCAAGTAAAACAATCAATAGAATCATTAAAAAAGGTATGAACAAGTTACAAATATGTTCTAATTTAAAAAGATAAAGGCTTTTAAACACCACGCAAAACAAGCTCGAAGGAATCACAGCGATGTTGGCTAATGTTAGCTTAGCAGGTGTGTTGATCCCCATCAGGTTTTCAACATTTGGCCTCCGCTTTGTGACGGATCGGACGCCAGGTTGTCTTGACAACTTGACGATGTCGTGGCGCTGCACAGGAAGCGCCTTGGGTGTAGTTGACACTTTTGTCATATCTGCTAGCCTCATCATCAAACCAAACCAGGAAACAAATCTCAGAGCACGGATGAAAAGGGCGAAAAAGAAGAAGGTGAAGAAGAAGGTGTGAAAAGCTCGGTTATCACCTCATGTTTGAGCTCTTGAATCTGATCTTTGAGGTCTCTGATGTATTGGTTGGAGTCACTGTGGTTCAGCTGGCCCTGCACCTTCCCTTCTTCTTTCTAAACCACCAAAAACAACAAAAACAACTCAGTAGCTAATACATACATCGAGTGCTAATGTGCGGCTAGCAGGCTAAAGCTAAAGTCAAAGGTATAAGTCAGGAAACGCAGATGCATTGTGATATTGCGTTATCCAGCTAAAGGTAACGCTAGCGGTGTGTATGTATCCCGTTCACCTAAAATGATGAAATGAATCCGTAACATGATGAAAAGCAACTTTGATTAAACAAAGTCAATCACTTATTAACTTTGCAGCAAGGTGCCCATGTCAGGTGGGTGTGGGGGTGACACCCCACCCTCCCTTATCTAAATTTAGCAACAACTTCCTGCAACAGTGACAGGTCCCAACAGACCCCGAAAGGAGGGTCAAAAACAAGTCAGATGATGTTTTTGAGGTTTTGTTTTCCAGCTTCCTGGAGCTCAGCTGCGATACGAAACAGGTGGCAAGCAGCCGGCGAGCGGCGGCCGTTTAACGTCTCGGGAATGCTTAAAAAAAAAGGTTTTGGGGTGCCAATCTGCCAGTAAGGACCCGAGAAAATAAAGCTTCACATTTCAGGTTGAGAGTGAAACCACTTCCTGCTGGGCCCCACAGACTGATAACGACCAAAGTTCATTTCTGAACAATTGAAAGTGACACAATTATGCGGTCACACAAGAATATTTTAATCTAATTTCTATGTTTCTAATGTTGTTGTGGAACTGTTTTTTTTTTCCTATTCACCGAAGACCCCATCTATTGCTATTTGGCTGCTAGGCCAAAGCAGTAAAATCACCATTCTGGCACCATTTGGTGGAATGCTATCTCAGATTCTTGCTAGGATTTAGTCACTGCTATGTTGATGTTTTTTTTTATTTTTTATTTTGGTTCGAGACGCCCTGTTTTGCCCTTGGATGCATTCTATGCTCCATCAAAAGGGAAAGTGAAGGTATGTTTTTGTCTCCCTACCATGCAGCTCCTAATAGCTGCTGGAGTTTACCTTGCCAATATATTTTCCTTAAATATCACTGAACATTTATTATGTCTAAATGCCAAAATGTGAGTTTAATGCCTGAATACTCTGAGTGTCAAGTGATCGTGTGCGTATTTCAGTTTGTGCTAGCGTGTGACTTAGTTTAGTACGCTTGATGAGCCACAGGTGAATTACTGAATACACTTGTGGATGGAACATGGGTGGATGAATGTGGACATGCTTGGTGTTCTGTTTTAGCGCTCGACCGCCATCCAGGATTCATTTTGTTTCACTTCTAAGGTCTGGTTGCACACCAAATTGCATTACCTGAATCTCCAGCTCTGAGATCTGCTGCTGCAGTTCGGCCATGGCGGCCATGTTGTCAGCTTCGCGCAGCCTCACCGCCATCACCTCCTCTTTGCTCTGGAGGGGGGGGGGAACGGCACATTTAGCAGAACATTTTTACCCTCAACTTCCGGCGCAAATAATCGCGGCGTTCGTCCAGTACCTTGCATTCCATCTCTGCTTGTCGCCTTTTGATTTCCTGGAGCTGCGAGTGGAGATCCTTGTTTTGAGTCGTCAACGTCTGAACGCGATCTTGAAGGCTTCGGGCTTCTTGCTCTGCTCGCCGCAGCTGATTGCCATGAATCTGATTCTGGAAAATCCCCCGCCCCAAGTTTGTCAGTTTTTTCAAAGCTAACAAACTTATCTCACAACATACGTTAAAAAAAAAAAAAAATCTGGCCCAAAGAAGGACATTATTGAGCTGTCGCTTTCTGTCGGCACAAAAAACAGGATTACAGAGGAGGATATTCAATCATTTTCAACAACAACAAAAAAATGGGCTGTGCTGAAATACTTCTGGTTTGTTGTTAAATAGGGGTCCGCTATCTAGTGGTCGACAGTGGAATTACACCCAAACAGATAAAGGATAGACCGAAATACGGTATGAACTGTACATGAACTGTACCCACCCCCGTCCGACCCCCAAAACATCTGCGAAATAGAGGGACCACAAACCCAGAACCCACAATGGAGGGCGGTTTACTGTAGTTCAAAAGGTGACTAAGCACTAAATTCTTCCAAACACTGTTTTTCTATTTTTTTGTGTGTGAAGGTCTAACCTGGGTCTCCAGCTCCAACATCCTCTGTCGACTCTCCCGCATTTCAGCCTGCGCCTCGGCCTCCCGCAGCCGCACGCTCATCAGCTCGTCCTGCAGCTCGCTCAGCGTGTTCTTCTTGGGACTCTCCCGCCAGCGGCCGGACGTTCGGGCGAGGTGGCGCTAGGAGGTGCAGGAAAAAGATTCTAAAGTTTTTTGATGGTCGTAGTGAGAAAAATCCCATTCACGATCCTCATGTAACTGCTGTTAAAAAACGTCAGTCTAAATCACATCTGAATTAAGTAGCTCTTACCACCTCAAACAGAAAGGTGTGACGTAGCCTTTTTTTTTTTCTTTTTTTGGGGGAGATAACTCTGTTCCCACCTGCCAGTGGTCCTCCAGGTCCCGGACTTGCTGCCGCAGTTCCTTGAGGCCTGTGAGCGCCTCAGCCTCCCTGACCGTCATGGCCATCAGCTCTTCCTGCAGTCGAGCCACATTGGTGTCATCCGGCAGAGACGTGTTGCGCTAATGCGGGTAGCGAAAGGACATTCAGGACATTTTGGCAAGTCCAAGGTAAATTTAAGACTTATTAAGGCTTGGCTGATGATAGCGTGCATGTTTTTTTTTTCCTTTTTTAATGTATCCTACGCACCATTTTGGAGCAGCACTCCAATGGTGTTATTTTTGAAACAAAGACAGCTGATGTCCATTTAAGCCAATATGTTCGTCACCTTCTCCATGTCCAGGATTTTGTCCTGCATCTCCTTGAGCGCGCACTGCGACTCGGCCTCCTTCAGCCGGGCCTGCACCAACTCTCGTTCCAGCTGCAGCACCGCCTCCTCCGAGCAGCGTAGCGCCCCCTTCTGACAACCACACAAAACACAACACCACATGACTAACAGACTCCGCCATCTACTCCTGTAGATGGCGGAGCTGCATCGCTTGTATAAAGGTAAAGGCAGTGAATTTCATCTTGTCACCTCTATTAGGAGTATGTATGAGAGACTATGTATACGTATGGCACAAACAGTGCATGTCGCAGTCGGAAGTAGAAAGCGTGTCTTGATCGTGAGAAAATATGACATAGTTCATGGAGTGATTGGTGAACGGGATGTAAAAAAACACCACTGATGCTCAACTCGAGCCATCAAATTTTATTGTTTTGCTCTTGATTATAAAGTGTCCTTGATTGTTGTGAAAGGCGCTTATAAATAAAATGTATTATTATTATTAGTAGTAGTAGTAGTATCAAAAGCCAATTCATTGGCTTGTTTTGGTTGTTTTATGGTTTGGGGTGGGGGGGTGTCACAAAAAGTGTCAAAGTCACCGTTCAGCTTGAAGTATTTCTTTAAACAAAATGCCACTTTTCTCTGCTTTTTGGAATCGGGTGTTTTTTTTTGGTCCACCCGACCCATGGTCTACTGCTACTGACTGAAAAACAGAAAAAAGTAGAAACCATTTATTTTTTCTGGTGAAAGGAAAGAGTGTGGGGAGCAGTGATTTGAAAACGGCGAAGACTGAATGAGTTAAGATAACATTTGCTCAATGAGAAATACAGTATGGACTCGAGACATTGTTAATGTAGTTAAAAAAACAAAACAAAACAAAACTGAGCTTTCCTTTTGAGAATATGACATTTCTAAGTGAGAGCCGAAGGTCTGACCAGTACTGTACCCAATCATCTATGACCTGGCCCATCTGTGCCGGTTTAAAATAAGATGTGACCCTAAAGTACAAAAGTTTGAACACAGAGATGGCCAAGCATTTTGAAACAGAGAGCTACTGCTTGGACACTGATTAATGCAAAGGGCTGCCAGTGTTTACATTTCAAATGCCAGAAAATCACAATGTCCCATCTCCGGTAAGCTATTTTATGTTGGTGACAGCTTGACAAACTCATTTGGATTCCATACGAAGACCTAAGTGCGGAGGTGGTCTGACAAAATAGTGGCACAGCTTTAAAAGGAGAATGAGTTTGCCGCACCCTGTCTGACAGCCATGTTGCATGAATAAATCACCCAAGTGTCACATTATGTAAAACATGCGCTGGCATGAATTAATAACGAAACATAATTATGCCAAGAGAGCAGATGTGCAGGGTGTGAAGACATTTGTACGTGTGTGTGTAGGAGGCAAGTGATGCGCTCTACATACACGTGGGACATCACGCATGCCTAAACAGAGAGCGACAATCGGTCCAAATGTGAGCATCGTCATGAGACGCGATGAACAAACGTGATCCTGGGGTGTTTTAGGGATTTTTTCCCCCCCATCCCCGATCTGCTCGGAGAATGGTCACAGCTTGATAATTGTAAATGTTAAATCTGTTCAGTATTTTCAAAGACAAATAAGAGCAGATCATGTGAGTGGTCAACACCAATTTTAGGTAAGGGCACATATTTCCTGAAATCCGGCTTGGCTCCCGTCAGCAGTGGCGCCACCCAGTGGCCATCCTTACCGCTTGCGGCTGCTGTTGAAGCTGCCTGATGGCGTTGTTGGCCTGCTCCAGCTGAGCAGCGGCCTCCTCGCTCTGCTGTTTGACAGTGGCCAACTCCCGCTTGACCAGGTAGTTCTCCTCCGCCTCCTGAGCCCGAGTCACTTGTCCCTTCGGACGCAAACGACCGAAGGCGGACGTGGTGGTGGGAAGGGGGAAAGGTGAGCAAGCCAGCGAGTGAAAGATTACGACGGAAGAGGAAGAAAAAAGATTGGGGTTGTCTAAAAGTCATGCTGGTTTTTAAAGGTTGTGTGTTTTTATTTTATTTTTTTGCAAACACTTGAGCAAGCGAGTGCACACTGCACTTGTAATACAACATTGTTCCTCTAGATGCGCTAGAGTAGCACCAAAGAGGCGTTAAACGTTTAGCCATGAGAACATATTGAACATCACGGTTCCTTACAGCTCTGTACGTGTTGAAATGAACATTTACAAATGCAATGACAAGAGGGCACCACTTTGAATCTAAATCGACACAATTCTAGCGTGTCCAACTTATTTTTTGTCAAGGGGTAGTTGTGGTTTTCCTTGAACGGCCATTATGACCGTGAACCCATATGCCTCATATTGTCACATTCACAAAAAAATGATGGATGACTACTTTTATACATAAAATCCAATTAAAAAAAAAAAAGACACTATTTTTCAGTTTTTTCGAAATAAAACCACCTGGGCTGCAAGTCAGCGTTTCCTCCTCCTTTCATAAAGGCTTGGAGTGTGCTCGCTTTGCTCAGGTGAAAAACATTTACTGGTAACCGTTTCTTTGGATTCTGTCATTTTGTGAGTATTTCATGCACTTAATTCAACATTGTTAACGCCTATAATTACCAGATAAATGTGGCATAATTTCCCACTGAATGTGCATGATTGGGACTGACTAATCATCAGCATGCGGTGCTAAAGAGGCAGAAAAGAGAGGGTGGGTGCAGCGAGAAAAATAACGTGAGGGGGAAAAAATACCTGGATCAATCTATCTGCCAAGGAAGCACTTTCCTACAAAAAACAGAGATATCCACAAAAGAGAGAGCAGAGAGACAATCCAGAGGACAGTTTAAAGCACACACACAAGATACTTAATGATTTTTGTTTGTTTTCAAGAAAAAAAAAGAAGAAATGCAACGTGAAAGGCAATGTTCATTTCTACCTCCTACATCAGTGATTCCCAACCAGTGTGCCACACCACATCAACTACTTTCCTCTGGCGCCCCCTTTTGGCTGATTGCTATCTCTGACGGAGTTCATGATGGTGGCTCGTCAGTAAATCAATCAACGTTTTTTGTTTTATGTCGGTGGAACCCAGAGGGGGTTCTTAAAATAATTTGGAGAGATTTACAAAAATCAATATGGTGTCAACTTTATATTGGCTTCCGCTTTTTCATTAGTTGTAGATACATTTGGAAGGCTAATGGGTTTTTTTTTTCCTCCTGCAATTAACTCTGTCAGGTTTTTAAATCCTAGTTGGATATCGTGTTGGTTAAAATTGTGTAAAGCATTTTCATGACTTCAAAATTTTGCATCACACACTTTTATGAATTAGTATGATCATTATTATTATTGTTGATATTAGCGTAAGCAGTATACTCTAAACGGACCAAATCTTTAACTGCTGTTGAGATTCAAGTATCCATTCTAATATGCACATTAAACATAAAAAAAACCCCACATATAACCTAATTAATGTTGAATATGCATAATAGACAGGTGGCGCAGGATGACAGCAAAGCCCTTTTTTTTCTATTAGACAAGGCTATGGCCTGGCTAAACAAAGCTCCTCCCCCACCATACGGCGGTGAAGCACAACTTGTATATTAGAAATGGCTTTGGCCTGAACTCGGAAATAGCGAATAGTTTTCAGTGAAAAGTGGAAAATTTTGCACATGTGCGGGTTGTCATACATGTTTCGTGACGTTTTTTTTTGTGTGGCGGTGCACTGTGATTATTTATTTATTTTTCTTCTTCTTAATATATGCTTTGGTCCAAAGGTTGGGAAACACTGTCCTACATGTTTACATCAGGGATGCAAAAAGGAACATTACATGCAAGAGAGTGAGCGATGTAGCTGGGAAAAAAAAATGGATGGTCTAGCAAGGAAGCAGTGAAAGTGAGAGTGAAAGAGGGAGAACAAGGTCAAGAGAGAGGAGGTATGAGGGGGGGGTGGGGGGGCGCATCAACGAGCTTCCACGTCAGATGGCGTTAGTGATTAAGATCCTGTGATGAAGAGCCTGGCGACGTCTGGACTGAGTTAGAATCCGACCAGCTGCCTCATGCTTGACGCGGACGCGGCGCAAACCTGACATGCACGACAAGCACGCGCGGGCTCGGCCTCGGTTAGTGGCGTCGCCATAGGCGACCGACTGGTACGGTGACCCTTCAAACAGCCAGTTAGAGCGGGGCGAGGAAGCCGTCGCGACACCGCGAAGACGCGAGAGGACCTCACCTTTTCGAGAGTTTCGATCCTCTGCTTCAGCAGCCGGTTTTCGGTGCGCAGCCTCTGAAAGAACCAAGCGTGATAAGGAAGGGCACAAACCATTTTTTAAAATGTCTAAACAAAAACTTAAAAGAAGAAAAAAAAAGTGTGCGGCTAGACTCACTTTGATCTCCACTTGCTCCTCCATCTCTTTGGTCTTGATGGTGGTGTACTCCTTCTCCAACCTGAGTAGAGCAAAGCACAAGAAGGCGATGGATGATGCAACCAGGACGGTGTTTTCCCCGATTGGCCACATGGCGGCGACAGAGAGAACGCCACACAAGTTCTAACTTCAACCTGAGCGAGACCAACTTTTTCTCAGTTTAGTTCCGAAAGCATTTAAGTTATTAATGACTTGACACCATTATGTTTGATAGTTAGAGACACGACTGACATGATAATTTCACTTCAAAGTGATACCCCAGGAAACTTCATTAGGGGTTTAAGGAGCACACTAATAACTTTTTTTTTTTTTTTACAGTACACAATTGGGTCGCTGCTTACTTTTTCATCTTCTTGGGGTTGTACTTGAACTGATACGCCGCCTGGATGACTTTGTCGGGGCCAGTGTCCAGCTGGCGCGGGATGACCTTCTGAAAGTGCTGTGGTTTGCGGCGCAGAGGACCCATCAGCTCAGACAAACGCGCACAGACCCAACAGACGACACGAAGGACCACCTCGCTACATCGCAGCACGCAGCCATACCTGTAACATTCCCTCCATGTCCAGCTGAATGAGCTCAGCTTGGTTCATCTGCAGGATGGCCAGGCCCACTCGGAACACGATCTCCAGACCCTGATAGCAGACGGCATCACTCGTGACCTTGTCTCAGGTGTACATTTAGTCTCAAACTCAGAACAAAATTATACATCATTAAAAAGCATATGGGGGGGAATAAAACAAACTTTTTGAATCAATTCTTCCTTCCTCCCACCAATTACAAGCACTAATATGGTGGTGTCGTGTTATCATTTAAACCTGGCATCCCTAAAATCTGAATATCACAATAGCTGAGGATGTCAATTTTCCAGCAGGTGGCACTAATGGACAACCAACAAAATCTATTTTAGTCGTGTCAACTCTTCTACTCTGGTCTTCTGGCGTGCACCCACCTCGCACATGAAGATGTCAAAGATCCGCGTGGCGACGGGCAATGGGAAGGAGGTGAGGAAGATGGTGAGGAACCAGGAGGAAGCGTACATGGAGGTGTGGAAGCTCTGCGCCTGGAAGTGCACATGGAGCTCGGGGAGATCCTCCTGGAGGCACGAGAGATTCCGGTTATAGAAGAGGAAGCGAACGATGAATGATATTGTTCATTTTCAACCGGGTAAATGCTGTTTCCGGGCATGGAGGTGACCCGACCGTATTAGTGGAGAAGAAATAACATTACTTTAGTGAAGAGCTGATTGTAGTAAAGTGGAAAGGAAAAATTGACAACTGCAAATGATGTTTTTGGGCGGCGTTACAGCCGCAATTCAAGCCAGGAAAACCTTTGATGAATCCTTTTTTTTTCTTCCCTCCCTTTGCCCCTTGGATAGTTTCTCCTACCTGGATCATGGATTCAAACTGGTACATGCAGAGGCCCAGCTCGGCCATGCTGGGCTTAAAGAGCTCCCGGAGCCTGTAGTCCTGCATCAGCTTGACAAAGACACAGAAGGCCTCCTCCTCAGGCATCTGATGGACAAGGGGAAAAAAAAAACACACACACACAGGTGAGGATTTTGTCTTTTGGTTGCCGAGCACGTGCGACGTCAGCACCTGACGATTACCTGCATGAGCAGCAGCCCGACGATGAAGGCACTGCCTTGACAATAACCCACCTCGCGGTCCACCAGGGAGTAAGCCTGAGGAGCAAACAAGACGGGCCTGACAGATGCGCCAACGTTGCGTCAAACGTGAAAGGGGCTTGGCGTTGCTTACCTTCATGACATTGAAGAGAACTTCCTGGCCCAGGCTGTCCTTCTCCTTGAAGAAGTCATGCTCCGGGTAAGTGCGGGCGATGTCGCGGCGAATCAGCTTCTCGCAGGGCGACGTCATCTTCAGGAGGTCCGAGTACTGGTCCTTAATGGCCATGTTCTGGGCGTTGCACAGCAGCTGCCACACGATGGCCCGGAAATGGTGCGGAATCCCCTTTCGGACGAGATCCTGGAAGCATGTCGCCACATCTTCAGCACACTTGAGAAGTCAAAGCTGTCATATGTGCTTGTGCTTCCTGTTTCTTGTCGCGACTGGATTACACTGTGTGAATCCCATCGGATGTCATATGATGTCACGTCAAAGCCAAAAGGTAAGCAGAGCTGCATTTAGTTTTGTTGTGCGTTAGCTCACTGAGTTAGCGTCTGATGACGGGAAGATACACGATTAAGAGGTGAAACTGTTGGTGGAGATGGCGGGTATTGCGTACGGAAAAGTGTCAGGTCAGATGCATGCGCCACATGAACGGATCGGCACAACAAAGAGACAAGAGAACCAAGTGCTACCGACATAAATGAAAATACCCTCTGTCTTGATCATGTTGATTTTGTAGAAATTATTATTACTCTCCGTAAAGAATCACATTTTTGGCAGTCTAAACATAAACAAAAACTTGGACACATTCACTGGGTCAGGTGAAAAATGTTATATTTTAAAATTGTCATACACAAGTACAAAAATATGGGTCTGTAGCATACCTTGGGTGTAAGGGAGCCCTATCCCGGTACATTTCACCTCGGGCTATGAAAACTGGGTCGCAAGACGTACAAAAAACAATGTGGGCACATTTATTTAAGCGTCCTTGTACTCGAGATTTCCATTTTCACTGTGTGAAAAAAAAAATTACAATGCTTCTACGGACATGGACCTATTCTTATTGTCATGATATCCATGCGTTTTGTTGCCAATTTCATGCAAATTTTCACGGTCTTATCCAGCAGAACTACCAGGCAAAGCGGAGGCCGCCGTGACGATCCGACACAGCTGCCCTCCAATTTTGCTACATGATAATGAACGAATATACCGGTCCACAAGGATGTCATTATGACATGTTCTTTCCATTCATTACTGCTGACACAATGTGATTAAGAAACTTCCTGTGCTGACGGAGCACACTGCTCTTTCCTGCTGTGATGTGCGCACGTGTGCACGCGTGTTTTTGTTTGTGCCCATTTGGGTCGACTTTGACCAGGACTTGTGGAGTTCAGACCAGACGGGCTGCTACGGATACGAGTGCAGTTTTCATGTTCGGTCATCACCTTGTTAAAAATGTTTCATCCCGGAAGTGACCAGCAGGTGGCAGTAATTGTGGGCCATATTACTTAAAGGGGAGAAGCAGCAGCACAAATGAAGAAAAAAAAAAAAAAAAAAAAAACAATTCAAAAAGCTGCCCACATGGGTACATTTTCACCCACGCGGTGTCATGATGTGGATTTTTTTTTTTTCCTGAAGTTTTCAGGATTAGAATAAAGCCTTTTTTCAACCAAGTAGTACACTCAGGTTCAGGTCGGAAGAGTATGTATTGTTGGAGTGTTTCCATTATAAAAGGTATGCATCAAGTACAGGCCCACTTTTCCCCACTCTTATCACTGGGTTGGCGGTCGCAGCGAGTGTCAGGTATCAACATCAGCGTATGACTTCCTCCTGGCACAAGTGAGCTTTAAAACGAGAAAGGTGCACCAAAATTAGCCTTGCCCAAAAATAACACGTCAAAGGATACATGACAGGGGCGCCCTCGTACTAATAGAGCGACGGGAAATAGTTTCCAACACAGAAGTAAGACGCTTCCTTCAGGAGAGCCAAGGAAAGTCCAAAGAGGATAACGTGCATAGCCCCATTCACACGAGGCAAATCTTTGCAGAATCAAAGAAATTGTGATGAAATAAAAAGACAAAAATCCAGATCAATTCCAAAAGGATGAATAAAAATGAATGTAACGCGGAAAAACAAGCTATCGTGTTCGCAGTGTGTCTTTCCCACACCGAATCTCACCTTGAGTTGCTTCTCCTTCTTCTTTCGCACCTCCTCCCACTCGTTGACGATGCGCCCCCACAGGATCCACGAGTCCTCCTCCAGGTGCGACAGGTTGGACGAGGCCGAGGAGCTGGACACCAGCGACGAGCCGCTGTTCCGCCGCGAGCCGTTCATGGAGCGCAGGGATTTGCTGTCCGTCTCCAGGAGCCTGCGAGACAGTCAGACGGCAGTCAAATCTAACTGGAGAGCTAAGATGGGGCTTCGCTTGCTGCTTCGTACAATACCAGAAATATAAATGAAAAACACGTTACGCGCCTAAATATTTCACGTTGAATGCAATATAGTTATCGTCAAACACGTTTTTGTTCCCTCTGCAAAGGTCAAGCGGTTTGACTGTGTTTTAGTCGTACTTACAGTAGATTTACTTTAACATTTAAGGTTGGGATGCTATTTAAAAGTCAATGTGCACAGTAAATAAAGGTTCATGCTCCTTCAGAATCAGGCGTGCCCAAGGATCGAGCAGTTTTACCGTATTTCATTTTCGGTAATGAGCTTATTTTAACGCTGGTTAAAATGTGAATGAAACGCAGTCTGCTCGTACACTAAATCAAGGTTGCCGTTCCCTCTCCAGTACGAGTCTTCAAACACCCGGCGGCGTTGACATCACGCAGCAGGCTCAAGTTTCAGCTGCATCTGGGTCGCGTGGGCGGAACCCATGGCCACAAAGAGCCAGGGGAGCTTCCCACTCGACTCAGACCACAAGTTGAACAAAAAGGAACGCCCGGAATTAAGCTTGCACGCAAACACGACCGCGCGTGACCCAGTACTGCACACAAGCATAATTTTGGAAAGCCATCGTGAACACCTCCCATTCACTAAATGAGACGTTTTGCAATAAAATTGTACAGACTGCGTATGAAAAATGCCTGACATTTTTACAGGCACTGTCGGTATCTTGCAGCATTTGTTCATGCAAACAAGCTACAACCAGTCCACTCAATCAAATCATTGACCCAGTCATTAAAACTCTTTTGATGGCTGATCAAACAAAATACTTTTTTTTTTAAATCATGAACGAATTACAAAAGTCACTTAAAATGATCCCAAAGAAAATCCATAAAACTACGAAATAATAAGATTTCAATACTTAGATAAAAATCCTTTTAAAAAATATCTCAAGGCTTGATCTGTATTCCATTTCATTTAAATATCTACAGGATTTAATTGACTTCAGTCTAATATTTCGTTTGAACATTTTAAATATTTCATTTTATATCATAAAAAATATATGTAAAAAAAAAAAAAAAAAAGCCGGTTCAACAATTGTGTCAATTATGGCAAGTTAATATTCCTATTTTCGGTTAATAGAACAATCACAATACTGTAGAATTGTAAGCAATCGAAATTGGCAGCAAAGTTATAGCACAGATATGTCACGCTAACATGTTCAGCACTCATTCGAAATGTTTTACGGTATTATTATTAGGAACTTGGCCGTTCGGATTGAAAGGAAATTCATCGAGTTTTGACGGTTCCGTGGACCCGCTGGTGTGCAAACACAAGCATTTGGGCTAATAATTCACCAGCACGAGACGCTAGTCTGTCATAAAAAAAATCCAAATGGACCTCCCTTCAATTCCACAGCGAGAGTTTCGTGTAAAAGCAGCATACCAGGACCAGTTCATGATGATCTCGTCATTCTCATCTCCAAGGTCTGGAACGGTTTACAAACGAGATCCTCGTGTCCTGCCCAACTACACTGTTAGGCGACTTTTATCTGCTTTTGCAGGGTCCAAAGGCCTCGGGGGGAAAAAAAAAAGAACAACGCAACACAAACACAGCGGACTGCCCGAACGCAAGTCTACCCTTATGAACTCGCTTGATGACAAAAGACTAATTCACACGGAGAACCTGCAAAAGTAGATTGCTCTGTAGGTTTTACACAGAACTCAATACAGTGTGAGACCAAAGTTTGGGATCATTTCACATTTTGAAAAGATCAATTGCGACGTACACCACAGCAGCAGCACGTCTATGACAGCCAACACAAGGTAACATAGCGATTGTAGCTAATTGAATGCAGCCTCCTGTCGCTAGTTAGACTGTATTGTAACGCCGCAGCAGGCGGTCGGACAAACACCGCCGCCGGTTCACGTTCAATGGCTTGATTGAACAAACACGTCGCAAGCACATTCGTACACAAGCTGGCGACGGCCATAACTCACACAGTCAACACACACAAACAGATCCATAGCTAGCCAACTCTACACATTCTCTGACACCCAAATCACTCACCAGGCTAGGCACAGTAAAACGTGAGAAAAAACGTGACCACATGAAGGAAAAATAAAAACTGCACATCCGTGTTTCCCCTCCCAACAAATATTTGAACCCAAACACTTTTCATCCCTCACCTGTTCTGCTCCTCCAGCTTGGCGAGCAGCTCCACGTCATCGGGGCTGAGCTGAGGCGGCGAGGACGGCGAAGACAACGACGGCGACGACGCGGAGGTCGGCAGGGACGTGGGCGGGGCCACCTGGCTAGCCATCTGACCGACTGTATGCGACACCGACTTCTTCACCCATGAGAGAGTAGAACTTAGCCTTCCAGAAACCTTGTCTGTCGCCACCTGCCCGGGGGAAAGACACACACATCGACGATTGAGACCAAACATGCGGCGTTTTACATTTGAGGAGGACGTTTATTCATTTTACATGAATGACGCCACTCGTGATGAAGACGGTTCAAGAATTGTGAACGATAGCAGGGCAGAGAAGATCACGTCCTGATTATTTGCATGGCTAGGCTTTAAACGATCACGATTTTGAGGCCCATCACTGATCTGCGAGCTTAAAACAAAAACGATGACTGATCCAAAAAAAAAAAAAAAAAAACAATGCACAAAAATCTGCTGCCAAACCTTAG